AATATCTAGTCTGAATTTCACCACAGGCTTTTTTGATGCCTTCATTACCTGCACAAATTCGGACGGAGGGCTCCACGAGTCTTGCCCGGTTCTCGGACCGTTGGCTAACACCGGTCCGCAAGACCGCGGGAAGATATGGTCATCTCCCACGTCTATGTGGGCTTCGGAGTCTGTCAATGCCTCATCTGTATGGCGATGTTCCCAGTAATAGAGCTGATACGGCTCGTTATAATGCACATCATAGTGGGACGGATTTTTCACATCTAAAGGGGACGAATACAAAGGGCGGGTAAGTGGCGCCCAAGAGCAACCTTACAAGGCAATTGATCTTGATCACCGACAATAACCGTTATAGATTTGCCTTGTTTAATATTTTCTAGAACTTTCCTGAATTCATCCGGTGATATTGCGCTCTCACTTCTGCCTTCAATATAGCTCTAGAATACAAACGCCATGCAAGCGCCATGCAAGCCATCTCTAGTTATTCGCGCCCGACTTACTATAACTCCTGAAAATTTGTCGTCAGGCAACTTTAGATTAGAATTGGTCATAAGATTTTTTGTAAAGTCGATTAATGACCCGGCTGAAGGGCGATAAATTGCAGCGATCATAAGGCCACTGTGTCAACTGTCGAATTCACTATGTCGTGAATGAGCGTACTGCTGTCCATTTTTGGTGCCGATTCCATTTCGATTTCAACTGATCTCGTCTCATGAATATGGTCTAGTATCAGATCTAGTCTTCCCAACTCCGATTCCTATATATGGAAGAATCCTTATACGGACGGATGGGTATTAGGATTCGTGTTGGTCAGTTTGTGGCAAGTGTTGTGGCTGCAGTAGTCGGTGGTGTAGAAGTCATTGGTGTATCGTACGTGTATGAGTTCGTCCATGTAGCTTGTTACGGCCGCTTTGGTATAGGTGGTGTAAAGTTGCACGAGGGATTCCGGGGGAGAGATTTTGTTGACGAACCTGCATTGCATGGCAAGTAGCTTGAGAGGTTCAATTTCGGAGGTGTTAGCCTTGCAATCGACGTCAGTCAAGTAGAGTTGGGCAAGTTGGCTTTGGGTCTTTACATTCTCGCGAATCAGACGAGCTAGGTTCCTCTTGATAAGGAAGTCCCAGGCCCCATTCAGTTCTGGATGCTCAGCCGGCTCCATTTTGTAGGGGAGGACATGGAAGACTGTGAGCACGTCCCGTGGGACATGCAGAGGCAAGTAGATGGTGCGACTCTTCGGCAGCAACCGCTTCACAGAACTGAACCAGTCGTCTGCACCCAAGGGGCGTGCCTTGACAGCCGGCTTACACTCACTTAAGTGGGTGCGGAATAAGGGGACCAAAGTCTCCTCCAAGTCCTGCAACGACTGGTCACTGAACGCTACAAAGGCGAACCGACATGCGTCCACCCACTCGCGGTGATACTGCCGAAGCATCCCCACCGCCGGCGCCAACTTCTCCAACTCCGTACGCATTGCGGCATCATCCATTCCATCCGGTCCATCCATCCCATCCGGTCCATCCATCCCATCCGGTCCATCCATCCCATCCGGTCCATCCATCCCATCCGGTCCAGGTGCATCAAGCTCCCTTTCTACAGCGTGTTCTTTTCCTTCTTTCGCAGCGTGCTGTTGGTGCGGTTGGTCCTCGAGTTCTTGCTGATTAGCGAGTTCTTGTTGAGCGGGTGCAGGCTCCTGGTTGCGTTGTTTCTGACGGAGGCGGGCGAGCGCTTCTTCTACGACTTGATTGGGCGCTCTGTGTTGGAGGAGAGTGTCACGATTGCCGGTGGTAAAGCGTTTGACGGGGGATGAGAACAAAGACATGACAGTGTGCCAGAGAGCATGTGCGGGATCTGCCGTATTCTTTAAATGTTCGGCATCGATGGCAGCGACTTCCTGAAGAACCGCTAAGGCAT